ACCTACCTATCTACCTACCTATTTACCTACCTACATACATGCGTACATACATATGCGATTATATAAAAGACTTAAACAAATTTTCTTTCCAACAAGAGTAACAGAAAAAAAAAAAACAAAAACACAAAAAATAAATAAATAAGTAAAATTTATGACTCTATCTATATCGGTAGATAGGTGGGCGTTGAAAATGAAATCGCATGGAACGAACGAATATGATATAGAGACTTAAAGTACTAAAGGAGGAAAATGTAATGAAGATATTTGTGTTGGCTGGCAAAGAAAGAAACTTAATATCATAGTTTCTTTCGTTTTATTGACAACAAAACGCCATAAGTAAAGGTGAGAAAATTGGACTGAAATGAAATGAAAGTTCAATTAAACGATACAATACGAGCGTGTAGCAGCGACCCTTTAAGCAGGATAAATTTAATAAAAGAAAATCACTTTTTGATTTTTTTACATTTTGTTGTACAATTCTCGAAGCGTATAAAAATCGATTAATTTGAACAAAGCGATAATGTAATGCAGTAGCCGTTCAAGCAGCATGCAAATGAAAGAAATTTTGATAAAGATTTATGAAAAAAAAAATTTTTTTTTTTTCCTTATAACAATAAATTTTTAATAATAATAATTTATTTAATATTGTCGCACATTGTTTACCGAAATTCTTTGAAAAACCTGCTGTTTACCATACGCACAGCAGGACAAATATGTTTCCATTAATCCGTCACTGTTGGTAAGCAAAAGCAAAGGCAAATGAAAAAATCAAATGTAAAAAACATATGGTGTTAACCAAAGATTTCCCGACATTTTCTGCTTCGACCCAAAGTCGATTTTTTTTGTGCTTTTTCGGAACCAAAAAGTCAGAAAGACTCTGGTTGGCTTGTTATTAATGCTAATCTTTTTTTTTGTTTTTTTTTCTTATTCGTAATTGCTATTGCTATGGCAATTACAATGAAAATGTGCGTTTGTGCTGCTGTCATTTTATAATGTGACCGGTTGTTGTCGTCGCTTAGAGGAGCTCACTCTTAAAATAATGAAATGAAATTTGCAACAAAACATACGCCACTCCGATGCTTGTTGTAAACATGTCACACAATGTTTTATTATATGAGACAAATACATTGTTGCTGCTACTACTCCTGTATGTATAAACACAAGAAAGAACACACAAAAACCTTATAATAATGTACATCTGCAAAACAAACAAACTGCAGCAAAATAATAAAAATTGAAAAAAATAAAAAGGAAATCTCTTGCACAAGCAAACAGCAAACATATCTGTTATACATTCTAAGCGTATTTAAAATGCAAAGGATTTTTCCTAATAAGGCAATGTTTGTATGCACGTTGTTCTTTATTGTCCTTTGCCTTGCAAAATCCTCATACTTTTAGATCTGAAATTGTAATAAAATCTTAACATCTTCTATTATTATTATACGTAAGCTTGGTTGGCCAACAATCTACAAAACCTAAAAACCGAAAAGATTTTTCATTCACAATAAGAATTCCTCTCTATACATATATACATATATATATATAGAGAGAGGAATATATATATATATATATATATATATATATATAAATGTGTGTGTGTGTGTGACTTCAAATCTCGCATAGTCAACATAAATCTCTTTTCATTCGCACTTAATTTAAATGCGGATCACAATTGCAACAAATATAACGAGAATCGTATGCTATTACAACTATTTTTTGTTTTTTTTTTTCGGCTGATAGGTAGCTTTAGAAATGTCGTTAAACAAGTGCTAGTTAAGCTCTTCGATATTGGCATGTCACGCGCAAAGATAAAAGAAAATACTTTTTTTTGGAAAAATACTAAAAATACTAGAATTCAATGAAATTCTATTTTCCATAGTGTTAATAAAGTTGTTTTGCAATATTTTAAATTCTTTATGGAATATTTGTCCATTATGATTAAATTTTGAAATGTACAAACATTCGATGTCAGAAAACAAATTCTCCAGATATATTTATTCAAGAAAAAACAAAAGAAAAAAAGCAAAAAAATATGGATCTCCAAGTTGTTCGTATCGTACCTTCCAGCATCAAAGATGTTAAAAGTCGTAAAAAAATTTGTTATCACTATTGTTAGTGTACAATATTTGTTATCGTAATGCATTCATTTTTCAAAACCCCTCACGATTGAACCGCACTTTTCTTTGACCCGAATTTGAATAGAAAACCTATCGAATCTTCGGTTAGTTTCCGCTCTTTTTATACCCAACATCACATAGGCCATGTTAAGTAAGCATCATTTCAAAACGATTTGAAGTGAATTCGCTTTTTATTAGAACGACATTCTGAACCGATTTAAGCTTGCCGCTCCGTCCGTCCGTCCTGTTTTCTTTTATTCATCCTACAATCCTCAAATTTTTGAGATGAAATCTGAATTGCATTGAAGTGTTCTGGCCTAAAGACCGAATGCTATTTAAAATGGTTTGAGTCACTTTTTCGACCACTTCCCATATAACATCTTATTTTGACAAGTGGTTACATGAGTACCTGTAGTGCAACTATTGTGCTTTTGTTCACCTTAGAGTAAGGAAAAAAACGCTAGCAGCTCTTTTTTAAAAATGCGAATTAGTCATCGAATCTAATCTCATCTGTAGTTGATTTCCGGCTATCTATAGGGCTAGCTGCCCCGAAGGAGGTTCTTCTAGCAAAGCGAAAATTCAAGCAGACACGAAGCATGTTTTTAGGTTATTATAAGAATATGTCCGCAATTGTGAATTGCCGAAGCAGATTTCTAAAGCATCTAATGGTGTGTTGTCAAGGGGTATTCCCGTAAATGTTTCGATATTTAATTTGTCAATATTAGTTGGATATAATGAAGGAACTAGGTGAGGAGGATTGTAGATGCTAATGATAGCATTGTAGATTCGTTTTCATAATTTTCACACATATATAGTAAAATGAGTTTCTAAACGTAAATTGTCCTACAAATTCTCTAAATACACAATGTGTACAGTAAAAAAAAAAAAAAATGTTGTTTTTTTAATTAATGTTTATGACAGTCCAACGATTTGAAGATTGTATTTTTAATTTGAATTTGTTGCCTTTTATTTTAATTGTTATTTTACCCGATTTTATTCGGTTATTTGCAAAAAAAAAAAAAAAAATGTTAAATGTGCAACGAGAAACAATCCCTAGCCGTGAAAGAAATAATAATTAGTGCACATATTTAACAAATTATTCAAGATATCAAAAACATAAAATTTTTTTGAAATTTTTTTTTAAACTGATACTTGATTACAAATTTCTACCTATCTCTGGTTTGTTGTTTACCTTATAAGTCTCTTTGAAATGTTGTTTTTTATTTTTCCTCATTTGGATAAAGTAAGACATTTATTTAATATTATTCTCATTTTATGGGCCCCGGCCCCCACCCCCCCCCCCCCCAAACGCTCGTCGCTTACCTAATAGATGGGGATATACTAATTCTATTATGTGTTTCGTAACAAAGGTATTTACATTGTAGCAGCAACGCATTGCAAATACAGAATCATCCTCTACGCGGCACTCGTATAGTATCAAAAAAAAAAAAAAAATGGGACAGGGAACTGACAGACTGACCGACTACCGATACCTACTGTCATAGCTTCTGAAAATTTTCGGAAATACAAAATTAATTTTATTTTTTTTTGCTTCAAATGCCTGGAAATGCTTCGGAGATAAGCAGATATGTAGTATACCTGCCTGCAGACTAGCGCAATATCTGCAATGCTATTGAATTTTGGGATTCTTCCTCGTCTTATATTTGTGAATGTTCTCATATTTACCTTCATTGACGTACGTACGTACGTACGTAGAAAATCAACAATTATTTAAGTGTTATTAAAAGTACATTAAACTTGAGGTTCAGGGACTTTTATTGAGATGTCTTTTTGTCTGATATATATATATATATATATATATATGAGACATGTGTAAGTGCAAATATAACGAAAGGTGTATACAAAGCACGTACGCGCTTGTCTGAGTATGTTCTTATTACCTTTTATTACATTATTTAATTGATGACACATTTGGTCGCAACGGAGCAATTGATTACAAACCAAACGTTTTTATTTCATCTACACCGCATCAAAACATGCTTTAGTCTGTTATAGAAAATCCAGTAAAAAGTCAATCATTAAATAATTCATTGTAATAAATACGTTACTACAAGTTAATCTAAGAAACTTATTTTTCTATTATTATCGCTTATATATTCGTCTGATATGAGAGAAATGTGAAAAAAATTTTCGTAGCCTTAAACGAGTTGCTGAATAAATTCCTTTAGTTTTTAAATAATTTGCTTTTTGACTTTGTTGCTTATAAACAATATTGATTATCGATTTGGGATTTTAATTTATGCCTTGAGTAACGGATTGGGTTAACAAAACAACCCTTACATGCAGGACAAATAAAATCCTTTACAAGTTTACTCATTTTCATCAAATATTTATACCCGGACTCCATATATTTGTATGCAATGTCAGCGCAGTAAACAAACTAAAGGAATTCCCTAATCACCTGAAGCATATATATATATATATATATATATATATATAGAGGTTTCAATGTGCGAATTCACTTTGACGTTGCTCTCGATATATAAATGCTTACATACATATGCATATATATATATATATAGAATGAAACCTCGTTTAGCTCGCACGTTCTTGTTTAATGCTTCATTTCTCTTCAAGTCTTCAGACATCACTAGAAGCGTAATATGTATAGCTACTATTGGAAATTCAGACGAAAGCCGAAACCCATAAAGAATTTACTAAATTTTCACTCTTGATATGATATGAACTCATATGTGTAATATATAAGTGTGTGTGTGCAAAGAAAATATTTTTAATTCGTTTACTCTTGTTCCTTTGGAGTTTGTTTACACTAAGGTATGATTATTTCCATCAAATTTTGTGCTTTTTTTTTTTTTTTTTTTTTTTTTTTTGATGAACTTATTTCTCTATTTAATTTTGTAGATTGAAGACGAAGGCAATCATGGCAATGATGAAACCCGGCTGTTCATATTATCATCTTTAGCTCAGTCCCAGAAAAGCCGCGTCGCATGCATTATATGTGAAGAACCAATGCTGGTCTTCGATCGCTATCCCTTGGTCGATGGTTCATTCTTCTTGAGTCCTAAACAGCATTCGCCAGATTGCATTGAGGTAAGTTGATATATATACACACATACACACACCACTCTTTCTAGCAAACTTTCTCGAACTTTTTTTTCCTCTATTTTACCTGACGCGATGATTAATACACATCGTTTTCCACTGACATGATTAAGCTTTTATAATTTATATAAAATGTGTCTTCTTTCGGAAACTTTATCTGAAAATGTATTGTATCACGCGTCTACACGCTTTCGTAAACGTGGAGAACTCCTTGCCCCTTTGCATGCATGAAAATGCGTTTAAATTTCTTGGGCCTGATAAAAAGCAACAACATAACCAACCGGCTTTAAGTATATAATGTGCTTAAAGATGAAAAGTTATTTTCTCTTTCGAAATTTGTAGGCGTTGTTTTGCGAAATTGTGTGTTGGCAAGGCCCATAAACTTGGAGTTATGTGTCACACAATATATTCAAGATGAACTGCAGCAGCAGCAGCAGCAGCAACAGCAACAGCAGCAGCAGCCAGAGAACGCTTTTTCCTATGCCTGTGAAATTTGCAGTTGCATTATTTTAAATTAAAATATCCCCCTCCCCCCCCCCGGTTTTCCTTTCGCGCATTCATTTCTCCGCTTGGCTGGTTGCATGCATAAATTTTAGTTTTCCTGGATAAAACAATAAAGTATAATACGTTCAACTTTGCTTTATACTCATTTTGGATGTCTACGTTGAGCTTACTCTGGTGCTGTAAAGATTGTAAATATTCTTTTCTTTTTTTTTTCGTTTTTTGTTTTTAAATTCCTTTTAAATTTTTTCTTTTTCCCTTGAATGCAATTTTTCATGATTTGTCTCGCCGCCTTCATTTGAAATGTTTGTTGTTTTTAACCTTAATCCAAATTTTTTTTTTTTTTTTTTTTTCAAAGAAAAAACATTTCGTTAACTCCTAGATGTACACACATGTACACAAAGATACAGCATTTTTCCTAGAAATAAATTGGAATTTTCCTAATTTATAAGAAATAATATTCGTTTGCCGGAATAATAATAATTCAGTACTTACACCCTACGATGACTTGTGATAAATTTGTATTTACTTTGTATGGTTGTGTGCTTTACCTAGCAGAACTTAACATAGATTGATCCCAGCTTCATAGTCACACTCTAAATCCATTTAATGACTTCTTTTGCTCTCTCCGTTTTTCTATGTGACACTTGGCCATGAACTTTTCTTTGTCGCTTTTGCTTCAACTATCTGGTTTGCAAATTTTGCATCATTAATCATCGTAGCCATAGGGCTAAAAGTACTCAACAGTTAATTTCTCGAAGCTTCAGCTGATATATCTTGACACATCATTCAATAATCTTGCGATCTGACATATATATGACAATTCTGTTAGCAGATCCATATGATTTCTGGACATAGTACCAGTCTTCAAACAATACTTGTCAAAATTTCATGACATTCTGACGATAAGTTTACAAGTGACCCTTTTGGAGTCCTCAAAATAATGGATAAAAAACAATTTCCTTTGTTGCTTAAGGATTGTTTTTAAATATTGACTTGATAAGCATTATGAGGACTCGGCATGAAGAAAACCAACTGTTATTGATTGATATGGTGAATTTTACACGGGTTCGTAGAAACGCCGACGAAAACCGGTGAACACTCTGGTCGTCCAAAATCGGCAGTTGCACGGGGAAACATAGAATAAGTCTACAAAGCAGCCTTGGAAGACCGTAAAGTAAAGTTACATGAGGTGGCTCAACCCTTGAAGATATCGGAAGGGAGTGTACTTAGTATTTTTGTGTGACCATTTGTCGCTGAGAAAACTCTACTAGCCTTTCTCTACTTTTGATGATGCTTGGTGCGATTTAGGCGACAGAAAATGAATTTTTTCATGCGTTATGTGACATTAGATGAAACGTGAGTTCATCTCTACATTCCAAAATTAAATCGGTAAAGAGGCGAATGGACAGGAACTGACGAAATCTCTCCAAGGCGATCAGAAAAGCAGTGTCACTTAAAGAGTTATATAATTTGTTAACTAACCGTCGGAATGTCATGAAATTCTAATAAAATTCGTCTGAAAGTCACTCAACTCTGTCGCCCTGTATGTGCCAGATGGGAGATTTGCTTACTGCTACGATATATGAACCTATTCTTAGCGCACTCTTTTTTTTTCTTCCTTTGATAAATTTTTTGGGTGAAAAATAAACCAATTATATAAACTTTCTTACCTTACAGGTCAAATATGAAGGTCGCGCCATGTTTTTGACTTGCGTTTGCATGCGCTGCTTAGATGGTACTTCAACGAGTCGCAACATCAGCTGTCGGTAGGTTCCAATGATATTCTCGAAGATTTTTTGTAATCTTTTCAAAAATAAGATAAGAGAGTTTTTTTTTTTATTTATTTTTTCTAAACAAATATCTCTGTCTATATTTTCAGTTTCTGTGGGGAAAAGTGGGACGGTTCAAATCTAGTCTTAGGCACAATGTATGCCTATGATATATTTGCGGCAATGCCCTGTTGTATTGAACGTATTAAGGTAATCTATCAGGTGTGGTAAAAACTTTTTCAATCAAAAGCTTCTTAATCTTAAAAGCTTAAAAGATTATTTCTAAAATTAATTTGATTCGAATTTTCCATTCTCTTCTTTGTTTGTTTGTTTTTTTTTTTTTTTCATTTATTTAGTGCAATAAATGTTTCAAATTATTGCTGCATCCACAACAACGTTTAAATTTTTACAGTGACTACTCGCACTGTGTCACTTGTCCCTTCTGTGCCACTCAGGATACGCATTTTGTTAAACCTCTTAACTATTGCTATATTAAGAGCTTACCGGGACGCTTGCCTGCCATCGCATAACATGAGGCTTCGTTGGAGTTGCCATCCTCTACCACCAACAAAATACAAACAGCGATTTCAATTGCTGGTGTGGCACCTCCAACGAATCCTATTGAAGTTACTGCTTCTATAAAGAAACCGAATAAAAAGATTGTTTTATATAATCCAAGTGTTGATTATACGGCACCATTGCAGCAACAAATCAATGCCGATTTAATCGGTTCGCATCCACATGTCCAACAGTATGTACAACAACAGCAACAACAATCACAGGTAAGACAAACATCTTCTAATGTTAACAACACCACCACCACCACCAACAACAACAACAACAACAGCAACAACAATAATAATAATAATAATATAAGAAGCATTCATTCATCATACAATATGAATGCATTAGCAGCAGCAGCCGCAGCAGCAGCAGCCACAACCATAACCACCAACACCACGACCACCAACAATAGTAACAATAGTTTAGCTTTAAAGTTAAGTGAACAACAACACTCTAATAACAATAATAATAATAATAATAATAACAACCATATTCAAGCAACAGTTCTTAACTCAGCAACAAACAATAGTAAATTTAATAATAATAATAATAATAATAGTAATGCTACTACTATCACTAATACAAATGCAACAATCAATAATTATAAATTAATGGAATATAATGCAATGAAAGCCACTGCCAATTTGGATTTAATACGATCATCAATACAATCTCCACAACAGCAAAAGCAACAGCAACAGCAACAGAAGCTTATAGGTGGCGCTCCAATAGGTTTAATAGAAAATAATTTAAATTGTGTTGTGGTTAACAATAATAATAGTAACAGCAGCAACAATAACAGTATTAGTAATTTATTAAATAGCAATAATTTAAATACAATAACAAAATTGACACAATTACAAAATGCCAATAGCAATAACAGTATGTGGCCCGCAATGCAATTGCCAGCCACAGCAACTAGTAGCTCTGATATTGTCAATAATATGTATAACAATAACAAAATTAATGGCAAGAGTGGCAATATGATAACAGCATTTAATTTACCAACGGTAAATATAGATAATAATGGCAATTTGCAACAACAACAACAGCAGCAGCAACAACAACAACAACGCGCCACGGAAGCCATGATATCGTCATTATGGAGTTCGGTTGAATCATCCGCTTCGTCCAGCGGCTGTTCATCAGGTTCGGGTTCTCAACCCTCTTTAAGTCCCACCATGATGTCAAATAACTCAGCTCATAACTATGGTAGCAATAGTAAAGAATCTTTATGGTCTCAGCAAACATCCCCATCAACAAAAGCAGCAGCAACAACAACAACAACAACAACAAACACAATAAATGGTAGAGAGTGTAATAATATTTACGATGGTAACCAGCTCAGGAATTCTTTTTATATCGGCGCTAAAAATGCCAACAACATTATCAATAGCCACTTAAACACTAATCATAACAACTTAAGTAGCAATTACGAAAGTAATATTATTACTCCGGCCCAACAGCAAACGGTATGGACTTCTAACGCTACCGCTTCGATGGATGAAATTAATAAAATTAGCAATATATGGGATATACCACATCCTGCCAAGACCCAAGATTTATTTCCAGAAATTTGGAATAACTTGAACACTTATCAACAACAATCCTCGAATTCTCTAATAACTAATAATGTGGCAAGCACAAATCAAGCCGCCACCGCCACCGCCGCCGCCGCCGCCAATGTCACCACTAAAATGAATAATGAAAATATATCCGATATTAGCTCGAACAGTCCTTTGGATATATGGCGCAATCAGATAACAAACACATTCATAACGAGCAATAATCACTCTAATAATAATAATAATAATAATGCCAATGATAGCAATGGTGTTAAAAAACACCAAACAGGTACTTCGACCTGCATGCAATTATTTTCTGATGAATTTCTTTTCAAGTAATCGCAATTATCCTATAAAATAATCTAAACTTGTAGAAGTAGAACATTTTTTTATACAAATACCGAGTATTTACTTATAAAAAAAAAAAAAAAAAAAAAAAAATCAATTCTATTCTATTCCCTTCTCTTGATTGTATAACTAAACTAAATTATTTCAGATTAGAAAACTAAGAATGCATAAAATTAAACTTTATCTTTATTAAATATGTTTCACTTAGATCGAGTATATACATATATATATATATTTATATATATGTTTTGTTTTTTTATTAAATTGTTGAATACTTTTTCTTTTTTTCTTTCTTTTTTTTTTTTTTTTTTTTTAGTTTTTAATAGTTTTTATCTTTATGTTATTTAATCGAAAAGCTTATAAACGCACTTTATTTTTTTTTATTTTTATCTTTTTTTTTTTCTTTAAAACATCAACAGAAAGCAAGGCTTTTCTTCTAATGAATTTAAAAGTAATGCTGTGTTTGTCAAAAAAAATAATTTTCTTTTTCGGAATCAGGTAAAAAAAACTAAAAAAAAAAAAAAAAAAAAATCGCAAGCATTAAATCGAATTGCATTCATTTGTATTATAAATTAAACATTAACAATGAATGAAAGCACAAAAAAAAAAAAGAAGGAACGAAAAAAAAATATGAAAAATGACATTTTATATTAATCTGATATAAATATATAATTTTATTTTTAAGCAAAAATATAGGCAAAACTATTCCAACAATTCAAATGCAGAGGAAGGAAGGTCAAGTGTGAAGGCTGAGTAAAATATAATTTTAACAAGGTTTTTCTTTCTCTCTTTACGATATGCATTTTAAATGAATAAATGAGTAAAGTTCAATACCCGTATATAAAATGCGTTTAAATGCAAATTTCTTTAGATTAATAATTTTCCCATACTCTGCTCTTGCTTACGTTAATTGCGTATAGTTAATTTTTTTTTTGTTTCCTTACTGAATAATGCGATGGTTAATATTATGAAATTATAATCAGCTAAACAGTTCTTTCTCGTTCAAGGAGAAGAATAACATAATAGCAGCCGTTAATTAATTGAACTCAATATTTATTTTTATTTTGTCCTCTCATATTTTAATAAATTTAAGATCAATGGAAAATTCTGTAATAAGTTACTAGCTCTCTACGATCATGATAGGATGTCTTTCTTCTCCCTCTCTTTCCCTTGATTATTAAAATAATTATTCATTCAAAATTATTAAAAATTTTCGAATTTTACTAATTTGTATATAATATTTTTCTACCTGCACCTGTACCTGTATATTCCTTTTTTTAATTTCCTATATATATAAAATATTTTACCTTCATTAGTAATATATTGGGATTATTAAGAAGGCTTGAGGGACATTCGCGTGTAAAGCTGAACGTCGTACATGAAAATATTATAAAAATTATGACCGAGACGCAAGGACGTACAAATAAGCTTTTGGTGATCACACTCCATCATATGCCAATTGTCGGTTTAAGAACAGAATACGTATACGAATATGCTTTGGCTTGAACCTTAACTTCTTCAATAGTTATTAACAATCCCGTATATATATATATATATAATTTTAGGAAAATTTTCTATTTAAAGCGATAGTTAATAGAGAGAACAGGAAAGAAGGACTATTTCAGGATTACCATTTTCACTAAGATCCAAATTTTCTCTAAGATCCAAAATATTCTCAAATATTTTCAACTATCATTTTATATTTCTCTAAATGCTCGAAGCAATTGCTCTTTCTGTTTAAGTACATTTTTAATTTTTACGCTGAAAGATCTTTGAACATTTCTTTCACTTCTTCATTTCTTTCTTCTTCACTTTTACATGAATTCACAATTTTCGTAATTTTCAAAATTTTTACGCATTTAATATAAGAACAAAGTGCATAGTCTTTAGGAGCAGCCAACGTTTTTCATATGATAAAAAATATATAACGCTTTGCATTTAAGATTAACTAATCAAATATATTTAGTAAATTAATTCAATTATTTCATTTGATTCCGTATTGAAAAATGAAACAAAAAAAAAAACAAAGTATTCTTCAGACAAACATATATAAACCTAGGAAGTATTGTTGAAATGCTTTCCTGATTTCTTAAGAACTTTTAATAAAAATTTCTAATCTGCTTTACACTATGCGATTCTCAATGTATTGAAAACATTCAAACGTTAAAGAATCAAAGAATTAAAGTCGAAACTATTTTCACTCATCACCAAGAAGAAGGTGAAGAAGTTTCAGTTTTTTCTTTCTTTTCAGTTCATGTTTAGATCAATCTTTAGAATATATATGTATAGAAAAAGCAAAAGAGCTAAGCGGCATTAAATCTTGAGTTAAATGACTACAAGTATAGTAAATATTTGAAAATTATATCTACAACAACATATTAATATATTAGGCATTAGGACTACCGGAAAGTTCTGCCCGTTTTTAGAATAAAACGAAACCATAGTTTCCGAGTATGGTCCAAAAAGGAAGCAAGCAATCCCGCCATCTACGAAGTTTCTTAAAAAAGCACTTTGCTTGATAGTACTGTCGTTGATTAAAGCTGGGTGACCCAGAGCGACGTCGCAATCACCGATTTGAAATATTTTCGAAGCATTTGCTGCACATTCTATCAGAAAGAGTAACTTCGCCACAAATACTTTCCCTCCGTAGCTTTCGCATTTCCCTCTGCCAATTCGAATAAAATACAATAAGGTGGCGTAAATGAACTTTACCAGTAGCCATAGGTCCCGTTTCACTTAGTACTAACATCATTCATTTTCGTTTTAATTCATTAACTAGTTCACTGTATATGGAAAGAGTCAAGTATGCGTCAAATGAATATGCGTTTACCTGCTGACACTTTTTGTAACCGAAACGGACAGAACTTTCCCGTAAACCTATTATATATTTAATTCGTAAAACTTTAAAAACTGCTCAGTTCTCGAAAGCATGTAGCGATTATTTCCTAAGTTTTCTTATCCGACTATAGTGACCTAAAAGCCGAGTAAGCTCCTGTACCAAAATGATTGTCTTCTGATCATCATCGTCTCATATAATGGAGCTTTTATTATCGAAATTTTACTAAATTTCAAATCCAATAAATTACTTCAGATTGTAACACATACTGTTAATCATGCGCACTGTATAACTGCTTATTTCAATAGATTTCTCTCGCATGAAATTTATGGAAAAAAACTTTACTGCAGTAACGCAAACTTGAAAGAAAGAGAGCAAAGAAGAGATGTTTTCCTTTTCATTTTGCTTATGAATTTGTTTTTTAAGATCGTTCTGGAAAACTTCAGTTCTTATGTAAGAGTTTTGCAAAATTCGATTTTGAAATCACAGCTATACACTATGTATTGGAAGAAGGATGGGCCGTTGTCCCCTTTTTTTTAGCAGATATCATTCGAAATGCAATCGAAATTTGATTAAATTTTGAGAAAAGATTTTTTCATATTTGTAGAAATGTCTTATGAGAAAGCCTTGTTTTAATGATATTTTCTCTACTTTATTTTTACCAGTTACCAGTATGATAGAATTTATGCATTTTTATGGATTTCTTTTATGCAAACAACATAAAATTACCATTGTAGCCATTTTCAATACCAAATAACTTTAGATGACTTAAAAATCATACAAATAAAAATAGAGGAAAAAAAATTTAGTAAATAATTAAAAATATTTTTTTTTCTGGATATTGTTTCTTTTTTTTTTTTTTTTTTTTTTAAAAAAAAAAAAAAAAAAAAACAAAAAAAAAAAAAAATTTCTCTACACACAATATATATTTATATATATATATATATATATATATATATATATATTAGTTATTAATAAGTTGAAATTAACAATTATTTGGCATTTAATATGAAGCAAAGAAAACAAAAAAAAAATATATATATGTATATATATATATATATATATATCGATAAACTTTTTTGATTGCATTTAAACTTCAACTAATTTTCATAATCGTAAAAAGAAAAAAACAAAAAAAACAAAAAATGGATTATAAAAACAGAAATATAATATAAAGCAAAACTTTTTTTAATATATCTTCTTAAAATAGCGTAATTACTTGTTTTAATCATATATGAAATTGAATAATAAATGAACTCAGTAATTGCTTAATAACAAGATTAAATTAGCAATAACAATAAAATGAAAATATGTTAGCATTAGTAAAGTAAAGCAGAAGAATAGCAGGAGAACAGCAGCCCTTTTTTTTTTTCTTTTTTTCTATTATTAATTCTGTTTATTCTATAAATAAATAGTTTAAATTCATTATTCATTTTTCGTAACGTTTCAAGAGTTTACGTTAAGGTAATTTAAACAAAAATATTTTGTTTTCTCTCTTTTTCTAATTTTTTTTTATTTTATTTTTTTTATATAATATACACGGCAGTGATTAATTATGAATTATAATATAATAAAGCATTTTAAACCTTTTTATTTCCTATAAATAATTATAAATACAAATATGCGAAAATAAAAAACACCCACCTTTATAATCAATAATTTTTTTACATTTATTTATATAGTAACATTAAACATTTAAAATGCTTAAAAAAAAAAAATCCTCTTAAATGAATTTTTTTTTTTGTTTTTTTATTTAAATTAGAGCTTAATAGTCATTTGGTTTAACTTTCCAATTTGAATTTTTAAAGGCAATACATACATAATCGATTTTGATTTTTTTTTTTTTTTAATTGTTAACAATAATAATAATTATTTCTGTTTTAGGAAAACAAATACAACAAATATATATATATATATATATATATATATATATATATATATTTTTTATAAATCTTATAATCTTACGTTTGTTCAAATTCTTTTTTTTTTTTTTTTAGTAGTAACTTAATATTTTTGTATATCCACCATTGAGAGATAGAGCACACTGGTAACGGTTTGGATGCACCTGTATTAGCATATGAAGAGTTAAAGCCAGCTGTAATCCCGGCCAAGTTTAAGGGCCCAGCTTTCTCAAAAATTGCTTAAAAAAAGGAGTACAAAGCACGTAATCATAATTTAAAAATCATAAAATTTATTTATGAACATTGTCTGTCGTGGGCATTT